TCAGAATCCATTATATAAATAAATGCACGCAACATAGAACAAACAGCAATCAGCAGCGTTAATACGCAGTTACTTAGTTTTTACAATAAAACAGGAGCAAAGATTCAACATTAATTCCGCAACAAACCAACCGGGAATAGGCCATAGTAGGAATAGTAAAATATGGGCGCGAAATGGTGCGAACGCCGAATTCATGGCGAACTGTTGCTTTTTTTTTGTGGTTTATGGCCTGGACTCTATGTATGCTTGACGCATCGTTGCATGGCTCACGCAATACATCGCAACGTCGCTCGTCGATATAAAAATAATTCAAAGTGGTGATATGTCAAACTAATTAAAAAATAGGTAGATTTTAGGTCTAGGGTGGTAGATAGGTAGACTGAAGTGAAAATTGGTAGATCTACCAAAAAGTTGGTAGATATGGTAGCACTGCGCCAGTATGACAACCGATGTCGCCGGCTCGTCCCCACTACACTTCCACCTAATAGATAATAAGCCAATCAAACGACGCGACATGAAGCAACCGAACGAATCAGCGCTCACAGCCGTGACTGTGAGCGTTCATTCGTTCACACCGATTATAGCGTTTGTGGTTGACACCGAGTCGATGAAATATTATCGATATTAAATATGCCAAGTACGAGTTGGATTTGACTTGATTTTATGGAATTTTATTTATCCTGTCAAAGTCAGTAAAGATAAAGAAAATGATTTAATGTAAAACGCATTACTACAGATAGTTATTTATTGACCTTGAAATACTATATATTTATGAAAAAGGCGACCCTTTTTTCTTTTTTAAAGTTATTTTTCAAAAGAAATATAGACGTATATCTATATATTTTTCAATTACCACTTTAATTGAATCTGTTACGTGGTTAGATAATGGGAATTCACCGACTTGACGAAATGATATGTCATCAAATCATGAAGTGCCAATAAACTTCTTTTATATTTTTAGACTAATATTTCTTTTACGAAATTTTTCAAATTATCTGCATGTTGTCGTATTACAGTTTCTGCACTTTTGCATATTTTTATAACATCACTACCGACGGATATATCAGGCCACCTTTATCTTTTAACGAAATAAATTTATGTTAAATAACTTGAATCTGATATTCCATAAAATTAGCAGAGACGTTAAATACATCATTATAAATAAAATGTCTAAAATCCCCTTCGATCCTACTTCTGCAAAAAAAATTCAAGGTCAAACTTACAAAATTATGGGTTTTTCCATTTTTCTTGAAAACGGTAATTTTGGCGTAAAAGTAGGTCAGACAAAAGTTGTAGACCATACAATTCTCTACAAAAATGGTCTTGTCACTTTTTCTCTCAATTTTGTACGTTTTAGTTGATTTTTTTTTGCAGAAGTAGGATCGAAGGGGATTTTTGAAATTTTATTTATAATGATGTATTTAACGTCTGCCAATTTTCAGCTCTATGCGAATTAGTCCTAAGTCAAATGTCTATTTTGACTGGACTATAAACAAACTCTTCAGCTTTATATTTATATTGTACTAGCTATGCCCTGCGGTTTATTAGGGATATTCTCCCGCAGTAAAACGTAGCCCATGTGTTAATCCAGGGTGTCAGCTAACTCAATAGCAAATTTTATTAAAATCGCTCCAGCCGTTTAGACGTGAAGAAGTAACAAACATACACACACACAAACGCCTTTATAATATTATAAGTATGATAAACATTTACAATCAGATTTTATTTATTTCTAAAAGTTACTTTAATTCCATTATTAGGTGCAAAAATTCAGTCGATAAAATCTATCGAAAATGTAAAATGTACGACGCAAGACACCACTAAAGTAGGTGATCGACGCGTCATTCTTGCTTGATCGTACTACATTTCGTGTTTTGAATGTCGTAGAAAAAATAGCGAGCGTACTTTGTCAGCAATGAATATTTTTGTGGAAATATATATGTGATTTATCGTTTAATTAATATTTCTCGATTTTTTGCTATAATATCAGTCTAACTAAGAAGTTTTATACTTACCGATGAAAAGAAATTCCTGCTTTAGGTAGATTTGATGATTGACTCCTTACTTTGCAAGTAATTACAGCACACGAAGGCAAGTTTTAAGCGGTAATTAAAATACTCTCTCACTGAGCGTTCGCGAGCAACTAAACGACGCGATCGGACGTTACGGTCAAGTTATGAGCATTTGCTCATAACTGTGACGCGCCTGCCCCGCCCACAAGGCCATTCTAACCTCTTTCTGTGTTCTGTGGTTATAAACTACCCTCTTAATAGACTAGAAAGATCGAAAATCGAATGTTGATGTACCCCGTTGTGAAGTGCAATGCACACTGGTTTTTAAGGTGTCGCATACTCCGAGGTCTTGGGTTCACTCCGGTGGGGCAAATCATTGTATGATAAAAACGAGCATCTGTGCCTAAGTCTTGGTTGTTAACACATATTAATTCAAAATCATACTAATCTAGGCATCATCATTATGCATTTCTATGCGTTAGCCCATAACACAAGCCTTTCAATGCCCATTATGAGGCTAGGCTAATTGGTGTGAAGTGTTGACTCGATCACTACGGTTGTTCTACCGTAATATATAATACATTTCAAAAGAAAAAGGAATATCGAAACAATTAATGTTTGAAAAAATTTAGTGCAGGACAGTTGATAAATTGGGAGCACCATAAATAATTCTTAAATAAACTTAATGGTATCGCATGCCATTCAAAAGCTTGTTTATCTAAATCCAATATATATCAAACTCCAATCTCAAGTGCAGTACACTATAAATGTGTAAAGAATTCTAAGTTTTCTGCAATTTAAGGACTATCTGCCAGATAGATAGATGATAACATATTTTCTCTTGAAAATAACAAAAGCAAACCAAATGCAAAAGCAAACTTGCAATATTGGAAATGTCGTGTATGAGGTGTGTGAGATGGTCAACTAGGAACAAGAATGTTTATCGTAATAATCCCGCAGGTTGTGGACTCGGCTCTGAGCTAACACGATTTTTGAGAGACTTAATTTAAACACGTGACTTATCTCAAAATAAGTACTATTATTTTAAATAAGTCGGTAGTTTTTACATGATATACCAATGGATGATAAGTCTAATTACCTAAGCTCACCTGTCTTGGCAAACACATATATTGAAGTCGAATGTTTTTAAAGAATCAGTCCGTAACCCACTATTCTGGAGGGTCTATAAGTTAACGTATTTCCTTTTTCTTCAATAATGTACTCGTTACATCATAATGATCTGTTTCAAATACCTAGTCATACTAGTTGTTGTTCTGATCATCATACAGTAATTATACTGCGTATTATTTGGTTCAGCATGTGGTACACATGACTTGTTCCTACTTCAAATTAACCCGAATCATTGTACCGACGAAGATTAGTTTTAGCCTTGTTTTGGTTCAAAACAGGTAAAAGTAGTTAAAGAGAATCCGATTGGTAATATGTACCGAATATTGGTAATCGTAAATGGGACCCTGATTTTTGGTACTTAAGTAAAAAGTACAGTCTTGTCAAATGTAAGACTCAGTATCGAACAACTTTACTTCTTTTTCTCGCATTAGTACGCCTTTTTAGTGATAAACAAAGATACAAATGAATGCTACACAAGGAAGCGTCCGGTCATTAACAAAGCAAATATATATAAATAAGTAAGCGAGTTTAAGTAAAGGAATATAGCAATCAGCTAATACATATTATGTTAAAGCAGCTTCGTAAGCGTGAAGAAATTAAAGGCGGGATTCAAATAATGTTATTTGATCCATTTTTAAGCTTACTCGTTTCTATAAACAGTTTCATATAATCTGATAAATGTTAATATTTAAATTTATCATAAATTGTCACATTGGCGTATATATCTATGTACGTGGCGATCACCAGGCGATAACAAACAGGTCTCAATATAAAGCTTTCAGTGACGGTCAAGTAGTTTAATAGCAGCATTTGACCTGAAATAAAATGCATATTAAAATACTTACCTCACTGAAAGCTTTCACTTTAAATTCTGCCTGGTGAAATAATTGAGCCAATGGTGTCGATTCTAGCATAATTCTCTAAACCTAAACTTAAATTTGACAGCAGTATATCCTTGTCATTCTCTATACAGAATGAAAAGGAGAGACTGATTTTAAATTTAATTTTAAGTTTAGAAAATCACGCCAGAATTGGCACCAATGAGTTAATATGGCGCTGTCAAAACTTAGGAAAACAAAAATAGCCGCGCTTCTGCCAGGTGTCGCCACTGGACCGGATACAAGGTGAATAAAAGTACGGAAACTGATGGTAATTCGACGGGAAACGGAAGTGCTATCTCAATATAAAGCTTTCAGTGAGGTAAGTATTTTAATATGCATTTTATTTCAGGTAAAATGCTGCTATTATATCTGAAATTGTGTCCAAATTAAGGAAAACCGCTTTTAATATTTTATCACATTAAAATGTTAAGTGCTTACTTATTTTAAAATGCACTAAGGCCATTAATTTCAGATAATATTCAATAGTATTTCGTAGGAAGTTGTTATTGACCGTTTTCATTATTTAGTACGATTATGTAATACCAATTTGTTTCGGTTCTTGGTTCTCTCAATATTAAATTAATTAATAAAACTACTAACTTAGATAGATATTTATCACGAAACTAAACATTGTTAAAAGTTATAAACCTCACAAGTAGTAAGATCACTTCTTATGTTTGGTTTCAATGTATTTTTCTTCAATCTAAGTTTAGAAGAAAATAATGAAAGAAAAATTTTAAAACAATAAATTAGCTAGGTACATTATGAAAATTGATATGTAAACAATGTTCAAGTTTATGCGCTCTAATGTAATGTTACTAATGTAGTCTCGCTCGGAAATCTTATTAAATATATTCTGTGAAACATATTATATTAAGAGACAGCTTTTGTATTATAGGGTTTTGGTAAAATACTTAACAACTTCATATAGGTACCTATTATTGATTTATGAGGTAATATTTGGGTAATAAAAACACTGTTGATAGATAAAATTGACTACTACTGGAATTTATTTCATATCTATAATATTATTTGGCAATATTTAACGTATGATTGGTATGACTTACGGGACTTACCAATATTCTTACATAAATACTTCGAAATCCTTGTATAAATCATAGTTTTTATCGCTTTCAGGGTCTTCTAGTATGTTTAAAATATCATCTTCTTTCGATAAACATAATTTCTTAAGAATTTCGGATGGAGAAGGGATACTTTTATCGGTGGCTGGAATGGTATCGATCAATGCATCCAAATTTGAATCAAATGTTTTCTTGTGTGTATTTTCGCTAATTTGATTATTAGTCAACTGTACTGTAGAACAAGAAGCTTCCTTATTATGGTCTTCGTGTTTATTGGTATTGTATGTGTCCGCTATTAAAGTGAAATTATCCGATTCCATATCTTCCCATGATAACTTAGCGCCGGTACGGACTAACTCAGCATTTGCTTCGGAAACTTCTAAATAATTTGTTGACCCAGTTGACGGCTCTGCATGTACAACCAAAAAATCTTCGGATACTCCTTGCTTTTTTTTAAGTTTCTCAACGAGATCTCCTGATTGTCTAATTACTGTGCCTGGTGGCTTTGAAGAACATTTATGGGTCCGTTGAGATACCTAAATGAACGAGAGAAAGATTTTGTAAAATTCACTAAAAAATAAAACCACTCTATATCTATTCACTCCCTTACTATTTGGCAATATTACCGGACCTTGAAATGCAAATTCATCATTTATCTCATTATAATTGGTTCAGTTTAATTCAAACAAACGATTAATATTTTGTACAAAACTTTATATATATATATTTTACTTTACTTTATTTTAAGTTAACTAATATAGGGCTTAACAAAGAAATGGAAATATACATACTTTGTACCGAAAGCTTTTCTCACATGCTGTACATTTATATGGCATAACACCAGTGTGTATCCTTCTATGTACTAAATAAGAAACTCTCTGGCGAAAACATTTCCCTGAAAACAAAAAATACACAATTTATTATAAACAAAAGTAGCAATTTAAAGATAATATAACAATACTGATTGTGTGTAGATATTGTGATGAGTAAGTAATTTGTAGTAGGTATTTCATAAGTTCTTGATTACTACCTGAAATTTTAACAGTAGTCATGATTACTGATGTTTATTCTATTAATATTATGAATGAGAACTATTATAAGTTTGTAACTCTATTACGCAACAACTAATGAAAGAATTAGGATGAAATTTGGTAAGCATATAGTTTATAGCCTGGATTAAGACAAGATATTTTCTATCTCGGAAAAATGTTAGTTGTAATGTTAATCCCTGTGGGATTCCCAAAAAACTAAAGTCAACTCGGACGAAGTCGCGGGGGGCCGCCCAATAGCCAATATTATTTTAATTAAGTGTATAAGGATTGTAATAAATTACATCAACAAAATAATAATAAAAAATACTACCGCAAGTTTCACAAGAAAATGGTTTTTCTCCTGTATGAATTCTTAGATGATTGTGTAGAGTGGATAACTCTTTAAAAGCTCGCCCGCAATAGTTACAGCTATGAGGCTTTTCATCATTGTGGTACAGAAGATGTTTATGGTACGATTGTTGAAACGTGAATGTCTTATTGCATTGGGAACAAGAATACGGGGTTTCACCTAAAAAATATTAAAAGTGTAGATATATCCAATGAATAATTAATCTCGTAGTCATTTACTTAGTATTGGCAACTATTGTTAAAGTGCGCCTAAGAATATTATCCAGCTGTTAAGCTTGTAGCTAGAATAAAAATTTAGTTTAATTTGTTATTGCTTCAACAGCATTATATTTGACTAACGTATTATTTCCGGTTAGTATAAATTACCTCAAAAATTAACACCAATGTTATTTAACCTGTATGAAGACGCTTATGTTTCTTGAGAAAGTATTTAGTAGTAAAACTTTTTCTACATACGTCGCATTGCCATTGTTTATTTTCATTTCTTTGTAATAGCATAACTTTATGTTCAGAACTTTGTTCATTACTTATTCCATTTTGTCCTTCTTTTTCTGTCTTTGTGTCACTGCTATACCCAGAAAGAAATCCATAATGTGCTACCCTCAAATGGACCATAAGGGATCCTCTCATTTTGAAATTTTTAGGGCACAAATGACATTGATATCGAGTAATATTTTGATTTGCATTTTCGTCAATATTGTGAATAAGGCATCGATGCATTTTTAAAATATCAGCGTTTACAAATTGTAATCCACAAACATCGCAAGTAGTGTTGGTTTTAACCAATGTACTCGACTTTATTGCTTGTAATGTTGTCAATGAGTTCTCCTCGGTAGTTCCAATATGTGACACATCTATAACTGGTAATGTATTCATAGATACAACTGGTAATTTGGGATAAATTTTTACGTACTTCACTGGTGTGGCAGCTACCGATGAAGGTGCTTTATTTTTAGACGTTGGTCTAGGTTTCTTCTGTTGAGCTGTTGTAACACGTTGCTTCTCATCAATTAAAGTATTTTGTATATCCAATTTTTGCTGCTGATCATCGTATTTTTTCATATTTATAATTTTCACGTGACTAAATAAATGAATAGTCAACTTATCTAATCCTGAAACTTCTTCTTGACATACCGGACACAATATTTTGTTTGTGGAGACGTAGATCAATCTGTCTCTTAAAGCTTGAACTGATTCAAAAACACTACAATGAGCACACAAAGGGCAAGGTAGAGAAGCTGCAGTAGCACTCATTTTCACGAAAATATATGATCTAATTATTATTATTTAACGGAAACAACTTCTGCGTCCGCCTTATGCTTACACGACAGAGCGAAACTAAATCTGTGTAGTTATTTTTAGATGACTCGCACATACACTTTGGCGGCATTTCAAGTAATTTTAATCCAACATACTTATATCCGTTAAAAAAATATTTGATGACCCTTATGTTTTAACATTTTTAAATGAAAACAAATACATCATACTTAAGTGAACTTTTAGTTGTTGTTACTAGAATTTATCAATTTTTATTGTATATAATCAGAAAGGTAGTAATTATGTACATGACATCATAAAATCTTATAAACGGGACCAAATTAATAATTATATAAAATTTATTTTCTGTTACTTTAACCTGGATATCCAACCCACGTATCTAAAATTAATATTTAAAAAATAAGTAATACTTTGCGATTCATATTGGACTATACAAAATGTTTGATGTCAACCTATTCATTGATAGGTTTTATCGAAATTTTAAGAAAGCTTTAACTATCAAATTGAAAATCAGCATCAGTCCAGCTTTGATGCTCCGCAAGCCTGCAAGAACTTTCCGCTCGAATCAATGCGCCCGCTTAGGAACTTTTAAAAATAAATAACTTAGATCATTAAGTTCATTGGAATCTAAAAATACAACGTATTCCGAGCACAGTCATTATCATGTCATCATCGTCATCGCCCTGTGTAGGTTCCGATCCTATCCAATCTATTAGTATATTAAAGAGTGTGAGAAAAAGAATAATTAAATAAATTTTGTGTTTCTGCAATTAGTAAAATTTGGTGATACACTGAATTTACAAGCATTTACAAGCCTATTTATTATAATTATATTTTTTATTAAAAATAAAAGCTTAAAGTGAATTTAATAAGTACTGGTCATAACTCAGCTGACCTATAATAATATTATTTTGCTTTCATTAACGTAATAGACTGTATTCATTTAGATACTTATTTCATAAAAAATATAGGAGTTATGTTGTACTTATTTATTTTTTGTGAATATAGTAAAAGCGTATAAAAACCGCCCTCCTGTATAAAACCATTTCATAACATCTCTTGAAAACTTAGAGCTTGAAAGTTATTAATATTTGCAATACTTACTGTCATTGGAATCTGATATGAGGATAGCCTTAATATGAGGTTCCATTATTTACTCCCTATACTATTTGCTAATTGAGTTTAGTACTGTTATTGATCAATTAGCAATAACAGTACTGTCTGTAAAAAATTCAACGATCTGGTTAATCAGGTTCATGAGGTACATCCCGCTGATTGATAGACAAACGTACACAGTAGACTTAATGAAAGGGTTCTCTTGTCGTAATGTAAATAATGACGTATGAATAATCCCTATTATTATGTTGTAGAGATCACGCCAAGTTTGACACCCTTGTCAAACTTGGCGTGATCTCTACAACATAGCAAACGTCATCCACATTTTTAAGAATATGTTTTAGAATGATTTCGCTGTCATGTATAATAAGTACTTGCAGACTCATTTAAATCAAACCACGATAAATCTAAGCAACATCTTCAATTACCATTACGACAGTAATTTAATAAAAGATATTAAACTTTTTAATGCATATAAAAGTACGTGGGAGTCCCCGAACGTTTACGGGGGACAAAATATCGTACATCGTGTGCGATGAGTCCGTGACAACTCGGCGGGCATTATCTGCACGATTATAGCCTGCGCAGACTAGGGACTTTAAGCAGCGGAGGACAAAACTCGCTGAATCGTGAAAACAAAATGTTCTCAGAGTACTTGTCACGGACTCAATGCACTCGATGCGCGAACATTTGTCCCCCCAAAATTTAGAAAAGCGGACGATATGGAAATTAATATTTCCAGATTACTTTGTGTTGTAAAGTAATTAACATAAAGTTAGGAAAGAGAAGACATTTTAAAGTAGAATACAGGGTTCATCTCTTTAATAGGCCTGCGCAGACAATGGACTTTTGACCACTAAATTAGATCGCGTACTGCATCGAGTAACGCACACGACGAATTAAAAGTACCACTTACAAAATGTCCCCCGAACAACAGAGGACACAGAGAGTCCGGACAGGACAAAAGAAAAAGGATGTCATCGTATGTGTTGAGTCAAGCAAGTCCTCCGCAGACATTTTCTTCACAATTCCAGGACTCCTCCGCTATTCATCAGGCCATCGGATCAAGCGCGCAACGCTGACTAAAGTTGGCTCTGTATGATGCTGCCACTTCTAGTCACATGATATATTTCTTTTTTATAGTATATTTCTATTTTTTTCGGGGACACCCGCTTACCAAGCAGCTGTTTCTTCTGCATAGCGGGCTGTACGTCACACCTAGATGGAAAAGATGTCTGTTATCTTATAACTGCCCCGTCCAGTAATTGCACCTGCCGCTGGTTGGTTTACTTAGCTGTAGGAGAATCAAAGGGAGGGCAGGGCTTACCCGTAGCAATACAAGTTTGGCCTGCAAACAGTGAGCCAGTGTTTTTGGTGGATTATGACTATGCGAACGCTGGTTTTGCTGATAAACCAGCTCACCAGTACCGGTATGATTCGTTTGGGATCTGTTGGTACAAAATAGATATTACAGAAGATAATCTCATGTATGTACTTCACTTTGCATACCTACGCGCGGCGGTCGCGTTAGTATTGTCAACATTTGCTTATGCACAAAAAATATTCGGTGGTGGCAATAATATCTAGTTGTTTGATTTATTGTCGAAAATGAACAGAAAGAACGGAAACATGAAACCAATAATAACTAAAATAAATAAGATATTTCAATGTTAATGTTATTGTTTTAATGCCAATTAAAAAAAAACACAATTCAACGCTTAATATTGAATTTAAACAACCGTCTACTGAACAGATTTAATAAATTGCTTTTTATGTTTATGAATAGGCAAATCAAGAATTCACAATATAGGTATACATGTGTGTACATTTAACAAAAAAAGGAATAGTAAGATATTTATAACTAAAAACAATAACTAACTGCTATATTATACACAATGACATTCATCTATGATTCTTCTATATTATTAACAATTTCACATCATAAAACTATAAAATACACTAACTATAAACAAATAAGTCTCTATCTAATTACATAATTACTATATATAAGTAAAATATAAATACTAGAACAATAAAACTAAAACTAAAAACCTTAAAAAATAAAATTAATAACTAAAATATATTATTAAAAGGAGTCCCTTTAGGCAAGGATCCGAAGATACTGGCAGCGTTACCCCTTTGAATAGCTAGACTAATTCTTTGTCCGAGGTAGCTGCCAGCTCTTCGGTCTCCTGTGACGTCGACTAACCTTTTTGCTATTTCTTTAAATAGCCTTAAAGCGCTAGGACCCCACGGACCAAGGGTCTCGACACCGAATGGGACAAAATCATATTCGGAGCCTAGACCCCTGTATTTGCTTGCTTTTGATTTTTCAGCCGCTTCACAAGCCGCACCAGCTCTGCTGTTGGTTCCATGTAGATGGGAAGGGGCCAGCGTGTCTGAACAGGTTGCATCCCATACCAGCACCCGACCCATCTTCCATGGAATCAAACTCATACCGTCTGGTCTCTTGCCATCGTCTCTTGCAATACCAGTCGGCTCAAGTAGACTAGGCAAGTTGACAGTGGCAAGGGACCGGCGTATGATATCATTAAGTGCGGCATGTCTCGAGAAGCGGCCTGCACTTTTTTCGACATAACCATAACTTATACCTAAATCTACAATATTTCACTAATAAATTACAAATTATCCTATATTTTAAGAGCCCTTTCACATTTTTTACAATAAATCGCAATTTTTGAGCGCCTCGTTTGCTCCCTTAGAAGAGGTTTTGACTACTTCCAATAGAAGTAAACAGTAGATTTATTCTTCCTTTTGAAAATTAATGTAGTATATTTGCAAATACTATTTTAATTTTTTTGTACTGATCGTTCTACCGCAGCTAGTTTACGGAAAAAACGATAATATGCACAACTTAAAACGCCTAAATCTCACAATAATAATCAATAAATTAGATCAAATTAACTATAACATCAGAAATATGTTTTTGTTGCATAATAATGTATTAGAATCTTGATTTTCCATCTCATTAATTATTAAAAAAACATCTAACCTCCGTGAGTTTCCCCAAAAAATAACGCAGGTTTACCTCGTATTTTGATATTGAATTAAATAGAATTACTATAAAAAACTTTCATACAACTAATCTACAATCATTAAACTATTGAAATATGTATATATTTTTATAATAAGATCATTAATTATTATTTTAAAAGACTCTCAACATCACCAGTAAAATGCAATATATACTAGTGCAAACCTATGTCGCTTTGTACCGCACGCGTCCCGAGCGTTTCCACGAGTGCATTCATCGTAAAACTGGCTGGATATACTACGACCGAAAAACTTTAATCGTTGACTGTATGTAAGTTTCCACAACCGTATTAATTTTTATTATTATAAGTACCTCCCTAGTTATTAATTATCGTTGCTTCAACTAATATTTTTGTTATTAGCTTTTACAATGGGGCGTAAAATTCCTGCTTACCATTGTGTCAAAAAAGAAAACGAAAGAATGATGCAGCCATAAAGAAAGCTTGTGAAGCAAGGTGAATATGCTTATAACATTTCGCTTTATTTTCAAAGATTTATGCTAAACTTGTAGGAAATTTAATGATGAATAACTTTCATAGCTTGTTTTTTTATCAATTAATGACATTTTTAAGGTTTTATAAAGGAAAAACTACAAACATGTTTAAATAAACAACAACAATTGAAAAACGGTAAGAGTTACAATAAAAAGTTTGAGAGAAAGAAGTTAGAGAATTTAGTAATAAACAAAAAAACACTACATTTTTTCCGTACAGTCAATAATTTAGGAGATATATATATATATATAAACGCGTTTTCCAATAAAGCGGCGAGTTGTGACCACCCTACATTCCCCGATTTAAACTTAAGCTTCTTACAATCTACCCTTATGTCTGTAAAAAAAAGCTAGAGTACGGTAAAATGTTGCATTTCGATCAAGTAT